AGAGAGGATGTCGTTTTATATTTCATCCCTTTTTTTTTATCCTGACCTTGTAAGATAACCGCGATCAAGTTGCATTTATTTATAAATTGCTAAACCATGGTCTTGGCAGGAAATTAAAAATTTGTTACCTTTGGGATTTAGATCTGGGAATACTTAAGAACGTAGACGCACTGGGGCGCTGTTTTTGCACATGTCAGTGTTTTTGAATAGATTACATAAAAAAAGAACAGTAATCTTGATGAACTATACATCAGTCTAGAGCTACAACATTTAAGCAGCCATTGTGGCTAGTTGTTTTCAATGGGAAGCTTATGAAGAATGCATTTGCTATTTTTGTGTAAGTTGTACAGAAAACGCTTATTAGATTGAAGTAATTATGATTGTAATAACTAGGAATGTCCCGATCAGGTTTTTTTGCCCTCGAGTCCGAGTCATTTGATTTTGAGTATCTACTGATACCGAAACCTGATCTGAAAAAAAAAAGTATAAAGAAGAGCGAAGAAACAGACCCAGGATGTTTCCTATTTTTTATTTAACTGATCGTATTTTAACAATCAACAACTCTGTTTGTTTGTTGTGTTAAAAGTAGCTTTTTCCTTTCCACCTCTTGCAATCCCAAGTTTTCATATCTACACTGTAAAAAACGCAGGGTTCCACACAATTCATTCATGTTGTCCCAACACAAACTGATTAAGCTAACCTAACACTTTTAACAAATTTATGTGTATTTAACATAAAAAATTAAGTTGTCTCAATAAAATCCCAAGAATTGTGTTGTTTCAGCTTATTTTAAAAAAGTAGTTTGAATAAAAGTGATTTATATTATTTATTCAATTTCCCAATAAATTATATTTTATTAACGTCTACCCCAACCCTAAACCCAGCCTTCACAGTAATGTAAAAACTGTAGTCGTATTTAGTATTATTTATGTTATTTATTAAATTAACCAATAAATTGTTTTTGATAAAGTCTACCCCAACCCCAACCCTAAACCAAACCGTCACGGTAAGGTATAAACAGTAGTTGTACCGAGTATTATTTTTGTTATCTATTACATTTCACATTTATTGTATCTTAATAAAGTTTACCCCTACCCCAACCCTAAATCCAATCATCACAGTAACGTAAAACCAGTAGTCGTACTGAGTATTATTTATTAAATTACCCAATAAATTGTAATTTTTAACGTCTACCTCTACCCTAACCCCAACCTTAACCCCAACCTTAAACCCAACCGTCACAATAACGTTAAAACAGTAGTCGTACCGAGTATTATTTATATTATTTAATAAATTACCTGATAAATTGTTTTTCATTACATTTACCTTCATCCCAACCCTAAACCCAATAATCACAGTAACGTCAAAACAGTAGTTGTACAGGGTATTATATTTATTATATATTAAATTTCCCAAAGTTAATTTTTTTTTACGTCTACCCCTACCCCAACCCTAAACCCAACCTTTACGGTGACGTAAAAACAGTAGTCGTATCGAATATTATTTATTAAATTACCCAATAAATTGTCATTTTTAACGTCTACCTCCACCCTAACCCCAACCTTAAACCCAACCGTCACAGTAACGTAAAAACAGTGGTCGTACCGAATATTATTTATGTTATTTAATAAATTACCTGATAAATTGTTTTTTATTAACGCCTACCTTCACCCCAACCCTAAAGCCAATCGTCACAGTAACGTAAAAACAGAAGTTGTACTGGGTATTATATATGTTATCTATTAAATTACCCAATAAATTGTATTTTTTTTTACGTAGTCGTATCGAGTATTACTTATTAAATTACCAGATAAATTGTAATTTTTAACGTCTACCCCCACCCTAACCCCAACCTTAAACCCAACTGTCACAGTAACATAAAAACAGGAGATGTACTGGGTATTATATATGTTATCTATTAAATTACCCAATAAATTGTTTTTTATTAACGCCTACCTTCACCCCAACCCTAAAGCCAATCGTCACAGTAACGTAAAAACAGGAGTTGTACTGGGTATTATATATGTTATCTATTAAATTACCCAATAAATTGTATTTTTTTTAACGTAGTCGTATCGAGTATTAATTATTAAAATACCCAATAAATTGTCATTTTTAACGTCTACCTCCACCCTAACCCCAACCTTAAACCCAATCGTCACAGTAACGTAAAAACAGTAGTCGTACCGAGTATTATTTATGTTATTTAATAAATTACCTGATAAATTGTTTTTTTATTAACGCCTACCTTCATACCAACCCTAAAGCCAATCGTCACAGTAACGTAAAAACAGAAGTTGTACTGGGAATTATATATGTTATCTATTAAATTACCCAATAAATTGTATTTTTTTTACGTAGTCGTATCGAGTATTACTTATTAAATTACCAGATAAATTGTCGGTGACATAAAAACAGTAGTTGTACCGAGTATTATTTATTTGTTTTTTGGTTTGAGTGGCAGTTTTAGGCATGAGCAATATGGGCGATCGCCCAGGGCGGCATCTTGCTGGGGTCATCAAAGTAAGCTTTGAGAGATACAATTTACTTTATGCAAATCTATTAATTTAGAGTGGCAATCCCAGAATAAAGACTCCTTATGCCATTCACATTTGGCATCTTTTGCACCAGCAAGTGTGTTATTCTCCATGTTCAACCCAAACAAGAGTGGTTAAAGCAAACATGCGCACAGAAAACCATTCCCGTGCTGCTACTGCTCTTGTTTATATGCACGCCAGTAAAATATGCGCTGATCATGCGCCGTGAACCCGGAGTAAAAGCCTTTTCTGTTACTTTTATGATACAAGGTGTCAATACACAGCAAGTTTTGTAAGTTGACCAAACTAAGGCTTACAATATGATGATGATCTTATTTTGACTAAGCATGGCTATGAAGCAGAAGGAAGGGGCAGTTGGGGGGCGTACTTTATGTGGGGTGATTCACCCATGGTGCCATTTTAGCTAGAACCGCCACTGATTGGTTTTGTTGGAATTTTGTCTTTAGAGACACATGATGGCATATTTTACCCACCTTTTCATACAATACTCAACAATATCCTTGCAGTTTGAAATATAATATTGAGTCATCAAGTATATAAAAGATCCGTGCATTCAGCATTTATGCTAAACAAATCCAGTGTTTTCAGGGGTTAAAATGTCTCCGCTGTTTTGGTGAACTCTTTTCCCAAATCTAAAAAGAAGCAGTGAAAGCTACTTTGAAGTGAAATTGGAAGCAGAACACAGGCAGGAGGCTCTGGCCCACATTAGGCAAATGTAAATGAGACCTGTGGGAATTTAAACTGGATGAAAGGAAGATTTAATGTTTCGCTGATATCATTTATTTTTCTCCCTTGGCGTGCTCCTAATCTCCGAAAGCGCGATCAGTATGAGGCTTATAGGAAGTGACAAGATCAGCTCACGAACAGATGGGCTTGATATTGCCACTTTAAACCACTGCTTCCGTCTCTGTTCATTTGATTTGAAGAACTGATTTCTGTTCAGTGTGTCTTTGAATCATTATAAAGTTTGCAGCTTAAACATATATGGAAAGACACAAAGTGCAAAACTACATTGATGTGCGCAAAATAAACGTACTGTTCAAAAATCTGTAACACTTTAAAATAACTATCCGTTATAAGTAGTTAATAGATCATTAGTAAACTGTTAGTTAATGAGTTATAAATGACTTGTTAAATAAAAGTTAATAGTTTGTTAATTATTTATAATTGTGCCTTATAAATAGCCAATAGATTAATTACAAGCTGTTAGTAAACAAATTATAAATGACTTGTTAACTGTATTTTAATGATTTATAATCATACCTAATAAATTAGTAATAGATCATGAACAAGCTGTTATTAAAATTACTTACTAATGACTTGTTAAGTATCAGTTAATAATTTATATATGCTATTGGGACGTTTTTCTAAAGTTGCAGCTATTCTTCATTTATTAACTGTTAGTAAATGAGGAATAGTTGCAACTTTAGAATAACATCCAAATAACACACATAAGCCAATAACTAACACAACTAATATATTACTTCACACTTTACAGATCAGTTGTTCATAGTTTGTTAACCATCTACTAATATGAGTGAAACTTTTTAGAACAATAAATGGATTGAACAAGTTCAAGCTACAGAAATTTGATGGGATATTGGGATATTTAAAATATACTTTTTTATACCTTAACTTTGTTCCACTCATAGGCTTTTCTGTGTGCTGTATTTTACCAAAGAAACTCCACAGACGAAATGTCGAACATTGTGTTTAACGTATAGAAACACATACTGAGCCATCACGTCATGGCAGAACAGCAGTATACAACACAATACAAACCCATGAGGTTTGGGCACTTTTATATATTAGTTAAGTGCTAGTTATTAGCTTGTGTATGTTATTGGGACGTTATTCTAGTTGCAACTATTTCTCATTTACTAACAGCTTGTTCATGATCTATTACTAATTTATTAAGTATAGTTATGAATCATTAAAATACAGTGGTCATTTATAACTTGTTAACTAACAGCTTGTAAGTTATCTATTGGCTATCTATAAGGCACAGTTATAAATAATTAACAAACTATTAATATTTATTTAACAAGTCATTTATAACTCAGTAACTAACAGTTTATTAATGATCTATTAACTACTTATAACGGATAGTTATTCTAAAGTGTTACCCAAAAATCTTACATACAACTTTTTTTCCAAGACAAAATTCAAATGATAAATATTTTTTGATAAAATGATAAAATGTTTGGAGTGTTTTATTTCCCACCTTGTTTGTCCCACTTCTCAAGAAAGGTTTTGCACACATAGGTAACCCTGTCCTTTCTTTAGTCAAGTCCTTATAACTGTGCATTAAATATAAAATATCTTCAAATAATTTGTATTGCCTAAACTATCTGTGATGGCGATGTGCAGAGGTTCTATTTTAAAAGCCATTTCAATTCATGTGACACTGTGGCTAAACTACAATGATAACACCACCTCAGATACTAAATACGTGCTTTATTCTGCACTAAATGTTACCAGTATGAGGTTGATTCACATTTTATGAGACTTTTATTGCCGTACTGAAAATGCCAGCAGATAATTTACCCCAGATCTGGAAAATAATATAACTAGCAAGTAAAGAGTGAATGAATGAATGCTAGTGCTGATTCGGTGCAAACCAACAACATAAGTTACTCAGCAATGTACTTTTAATAATGTTAATGCAATTTAATACTTATTCATTAGATTCTAAACACATTTGTTAGGAGTATAGTGCTTTTGAATGGTTGACATTTAAATGCTTTTGTCATCAAATGCAGGGTTCCACACAATTCATTCATGTTATGCCAACCCAAATAGATTAGGTTCCCATCTTGCATTAAACATACGACAATTAAATTGTTTAAAAACACTCAAGAATTGTTGTTACAGCTCATTTTAAATTAGTAGTTTGAATCATTTGTGTGTGTGTGTGTGTGTGTGTGTGTGTGTGTGTGTTGCTTGTCAATGTAATATTGTTTCGTCACATGTTGTTAGGACACCATGTTTGAGTGTCCAGTCAAACAGCACATTTACTTTTAGCACTAAAATAAAAAAATAGCTTGTGTTGATTTTTTTTTTTGCATTGTATCTGGTTAGGACATGGTGCAGGTCTCTTCACAGTGATGGCCCTCTACATGAGTCCTGCTCTGCAAATGACCATCTGGGATTTCTTCTCTCAGACACTGAGAGCATCAGTTAATCACAGTTCAAGGACTGTCAAGTCTGATTAGGGAAATCGCCTCAAAAATCCATGCAAATATACTGCTTCCTCTTATTTCAGCCAACTAACATGCTTTGCTTGACTTTCTAAACAGCACAGCAAACATATTTGAGACAAGCATATAAATGAATTTAGACGATTGAAATTAATTCCATTAATGTTCCTGTCATCTGGGAATTCATTATTTGGTTATTTCCAACATCAGAGAGTTATAGATCTCTGTTTAACCGAAGATTCTTCTCTTGTATGTGCCGGAGCAAGGCCTTGGCTCTTTGTTCTGTGTGCTGGATGAGGGATTTAAGTCCGGACGCCTCTTCTCTGCTCAGCCAGAATTCCTGATCCACAGACAGGGAGTGAAGGAGCATCTTCTCCAGACATCCCGACTGCAGAACTGAAACAGCCTTCTCAGGAAACCTGTCGGATCACAATTACACAGACCATTTGAATATTTGGATCAGTTGGGACACTGCTTTTTTTACCCCAAAGTAACAGGTGGTAGTTTGGAGCCGGTGACAATATTTGGTCCCACTTTATATTAAGTGTCCCTAACTACTATGTACTTACATCAAAAAATAAAATAAAAATAAAAAATACAAGGTACTTACTGTGTTTATAATGTATTCGTGACCATTTTTGGTGCTTTTGAGTTGAGATAGAGGTTGGGTTATGGACAGGTTTGATGGCATGGGTAGGTTTAAGGGTAGGTTAAGGTGTAAGGGATGGTCAAAAGTGTATTTACAAATGTAATTACAAAAGTTAATTACAGATGTAATTGCATACATGTATTTAATCAAGCATAAGTACACAGTAAATACATGTATTTGCACAACAAGTACATTGTAACAAACTATTAATTCCTATGTAAGTACATATTAGTTAAGGCCACTTAATATAAAGTGGGACCCAATATTTACATTCAAAAATGCCAATTAAACTTATGTGCAAAACTGGAATATTGCATAAATCATTTGTGACTGAAGCTCTATTTCCATCCAATGGGTCAAAGAGAACAAAATCGTCACTTCCTAATTGTTGCAACCCGGGCTCATTGTGGAAACGTGGTCCCGCGGACGTTTCTGGAGACCGCGGAATACATCCCGGAGGGTACGTACGGCTGCAGTTTTTGTTTTCGCGAATCAGCCAATTCGATGTTCTCGCGTGAACCTGCCAGAGGCCGCTGTCCGACTGACCGGATGATTGACTGCGCAAACTGGCCAATCGGCCGACTCGCCCTCCTCCTTCCCTGAACCCGACCAATTTTACCGATCGACCTGCCCTGCCCGCCCGCCGTCCAAAAAAATAAAAGCCCTGATTTTTTTTAATTCACCGCGTTTTCGGATTTCGCCGTGTTCTCACCCTGTCACGAAACTCGTTCACTTAATTTTTGAGATTCTGTTTTTGTCTTACCTTATTGCTGGAGCTGCTCTTCCCCAGACTCGAAACCGGTCGCCGTGGTCGACCCCTCTCCGCATTTCGAGCCTGCCGACATTACACGCTGAGCTGAGTGGACAAACGGGTTGCAGCGGAGAAGCCCTCCACAAGGAGGTAAGGCAAGCGCGAAAGGGAACAGCGTCACACCGCCCCGCAGCGTTCGCTTGAAAAATATAAACGCGGCCGTACGTACCCCCGGGACGTACGCCGCTGTCTCCAGAAACGTCCACGGGACTACGTTTTCAGAATGAGCTTGGGTTGGATTGTTAGGTCCCATGTGGGACCTGTTTGTATGTGTCTTGTGATTTGCAGAGCCTGCATGATGATTGCAGATTGGTGGGTGGGTCATCTCACCTGAGACCCATTGTGTGGTGTTTATAAGGAGTCCGGCATTCTGTCTGGAGAGGAGCTCGATTAGCCGGACATCTCTGCTTGGCGCTTTTGATTTATTTTAGTTTGTGTTTGGATCATGAGCTCGGTACACTACCCTACACATGCTTTTCACTACTGACTTTCACTTATACTGACTTTGATTGCTTTAAATTCTTTTGTTAATTATACGTTTTGTTAATAAATCATTTCTCTTTTTAATTTACCTGGTCCGTATAGTCTCTCTAATGTTGCAACTTTGAGCTGCTTGTAACACTGATAAACTAGGAAAAGAAATAAAAAAGGAAAATGGAATTTGCTGTAGTAGGAGAAGACACCGTGGGCCTTTTTTCTTTATATAATAAACAACTTAGGGGTTCGAAATCGCTCTTTGAGAGCGCAAATACTACAAAACTTTATGATGGACTTTGGATAAGGCATTTTACAATTACCAATTAAACATTCAGACTTGTGAAATGTGGTCAGTCCGCTGGTTGGTCTATTAATGCTGTCCGTTTCATTTTTGTTCTCACAAGATCTGTCAAAACAAAATCATATGACTTTTTTTATTGCATTCTGGAATTTATTTGGTAAATGTGTTTTCAACATTTATTAAACAAAGCAAATTCACGTGTTCATGCAGCATGCAATAATTTGCAAAGACACAGATTACAAGCGGAAATAATGTGCTCATTCAGCTTGACTAAATTGCATAGACACAGATTACAAGTGGAAATAATGTGTTTGTGAAGTGCATCAGTTTGTAAAGACTGATAATAACGTGTTCAGCTTTGTGTTCTGCTTTTTCAAAAATGCCACTTAAAACTATTTCTTTTCATTCAACACAATCTCACTGCTAGTTCGTATTAATTTGTACAATTCCGCTGAAAGGTAGATTCCCAGGAACACCCCTGCTCTACACAGATCCCTTTGGCCAGTCTGAACAACTGCCCAACCCTGTAGCTCTGCCTTTATGCTGTTGTGCCAGATAAAAACTGATGCCCAGGTTGAGCCTATTTTCTCCCAAGGTTTGAATAAATGAGTTGGTGGAGTTTTGGTTCCTCACCACTCTTGCCCCTGGCTTGCTTGGTTGGGATCGGTGGAGTTGCCCTTCAGTAGATTGTCCTTCAATGATCACATTCATATTGACCTGAACTGAGTCTAGAACTAGAATGTGCTAGCATTCTGTGTGACCTGCCAAATATGTCCCACAAAGGGAAATATTCTTCTAGCATTTATTTTAATTTTTCCTGTTCATCTATGTAAAGCTGCTTTGATAAAATCAACATTGTGCTAAGTGCTATTCTCTGACACAGTTTGATGTCTTGCGCTGTGGCTGAAATTGTAAACTGTATAGTTGGTACTACAGTTGGTAAGTACTTCAAAACTATTAAAAAGTTATGTTGTATATAGGATGCGTTAAATTTGGACATACTATGTACATCCGTTAACATATACTGAAAAAATGTTGTCTGCAAACTATTTATTTGTGTTAAATTTATACAAACTAATCAAATTTAATAATATTCAACTTAATTCCTTTGCTTAAATTCAGCCCAAATAAATTGTTTACAATCACTTAATGTAAAAAAAATGAGTAAATCCAAGGAATCATGTTTGTATTTTTTTTTTCACTGTAGTTAACAACCGTTGTCACTGTTATGTGACCTACAGCACTAGTTACATTTTTACAAATCACTTATCTCTCCCCATGGCACTCCAGGACCAAGAAACACTGTTCAGGGTTACTTTAAAATTATGTTGAAAAAAATCGCAACTGAAATCTGCAGGAAGTATTCCAGGAGCAGGGTATGCATGTCACTGTTGAAACACTTTTTCTCAACACAAATCAATTAAGCTAATTGGTTTTGACATTTTTAGGTTGATTAAACATAAAACAATCAAGCTGTCCCTCAAAATCTCAAGAATTCTTTGGTTTCAACTTACTGTAAATGGTTTTGAGTGCAGTATAGTCATACATTTTAATACTTACTCATCAATACCTTCAACCAGTCTGAAGTTTAAATTGTCATGTGGTTGATGAGGTCTTCCTGCATTATCAATAAAAACCAGTTTGGATGGTTCTGTCTTCCGAACCTGCAAATAGAGGTTATACTATTTTAAATAAATTCAGACTCTTATTTATGGCTCATTTCAGAATTGCCGGTACATTTCAAACATTTTCTTTTTTTCTTAAACTCGAACGACATACAAGAAAGAAACCATTGATACAAGGCAGGATGGATCCATGCTTTCATGTTGTTGATGCCAAATTCTGACCCTACCATTCAAATGTTGCAGTATAAATCGAGACTCATCAAACCAGGCAACGTTTTCTCAATCTTCTATTGTCCAGCTTTGTTTCAACACTTTCCTGTTCTTTGCTGACAGGAGTGGCACCCGGTGTGGTCTTCTGCTGCTGTAGCCCATCTGCCTCAAGGTTGGACGTGTTCAGAGATGCTCTTCATAACTCAGTTGTAACAAGTGGTTATTTGAGACATTGAAGCCCTTCTATCAGCTCAAACCAGTTTGGCCATTCTCCTCTGACGGTTGATGGTTGTGCGTGAAAATCCTAGTAGATCAGCAGTTTCTGAAATACTCAGACCAGCCCATCTGGCACCAACAACCATGCCATGTTTAAAGTCACTTAAATTACCTTTTTTCCCAATTCTGATGCACAGGTTGAACTGCGGCAGATCATCTTGACCATACCTACATGCCTAACTGCATTGAGTTGCTGCCATGTGATTGGCTGATTAGAAATTTTCATTAACAAGCAGTTGTACCAAATAAAGTGGTTGGTAAATGTGTATATGATTAGCAGATATCATTTCCATTCACAAATAATCATTGAACAGTGGTATACATCCAGCACAATACTTTTACTTGCATTATGAACATTATAGCGACTTGATACCAAACACATAAAAAATGTGTTAAAATTTTTTTAAATAGGCCTAATTGTGCTAAAAGTAGTTTAAGTTATGACAATAGTTAAACTAAAACATCGTCTGAAAGTCAAACTGACATAAAATAGGATTTTTTCTTTATTTTCAATACACACATTGAATTTCAAGGATAGGACTAACAACAGAGACTGCTTTCAGTAATTATGATTGCAGTAAGCTTTGTATGGCTTTCTGCAATGGCAAAGGGACATTTCAGAAACTGTGGAAGAATTTTATGGGCAAGTGCTATTAAAACAGATGACTTCTGCAGACTGGCTCCAAAAACCTAAACCCCAACCATCATATCTCCAGCTCTCTGAACTCTGTCAGATAATGACTACAAAACCAATCTAAAGGCTCCCATGGAAACGGATTGCCTTGACTCATTTTAGCTACCTCACTTAATTTAGTTGGGTTTCCAGCTCACAGTGTGAGTGGAAGCTCAAGCTTCGTGTAGACGTCGAGAGCTGTTGGAAAGTTATTATTTCTGATATTGGAAAGCAGAATGAAAGAAACAACAAAAAAACTTCTACACTCTCCTGGTAGAAAACGAATACTTGCCAGCTGCAGGACCTTGTCAGGAGGTCAGTCAATACAACTTGATGGAAAAAGGCAAGTGTTTCAAGTTACACTGAAGCCATGGTGTCATCATTTATGCAAGTTTTTTCTCTTCAATGTCAAGTGGAATCCTGACTATAGTCTAATGGCACTTGCACACAAAAAATGGTTAGTTTTTTTTGATGATATTGTTGTATTATTTTCTTAAGGACTCCTGCCAAAATCAAGGTTGAAACATTTTTAAAATGATTTAGTTTTATTATTTTTAAAAGTAAAATCAAAATAAATTATAGCTGTTGTTTGGTATTTACTGTAAATACTCCTTGCAAATTCTGACTTAAAGTTACTGGTCACACTTTACAATGTTCATTAGTTAATGTTAATTAATGCATTTTCTAACATGAACAAACAATGAACAATACATTTACTACTGTATTTGTTCATGTTAGTTAATGTTAGTTAATGAAAATACAGTTGTTCATTGTTAGTTCATGTTAACTCACGGTGCATTAACTAATGTTAACAAGCACGGACTTGAATGTTAATACTGCATTAGTAAATGTTCAATTATGATTAATAAATTCTGTACATGTGTTTTTCATGATTAGTTCATGTAAGTAAATGCATTAACCAATGAACCTTTTTGTAAAGTGTTACAAAGTTACTTTTATTCAATAAGCAGTTTATTTTGGACCTGAAATGACACTGGCTTCTGCCAAAAGATAATAAGACAATGCACAATAATGTCGAGCTAAACATGTGTGCCTAATTTTATCCCTTTGTAGCTCTGGTATGTGTTTTTTTTTCATATTTGTTATTCTAAATATATTATCTTGCACTTGATGCATATTAATGAATCCATAAAAAATAATGAAACAAAATTTACAAAACAATCAGAATAGGCTCATTCTGAAAACTTAGCCCTATATACATTTCAGGAGATCATGAATTATGTAGCCAGGCTTTCCCGCTGTTACCATTTTGTCCAGTTAGCTCACCATGTACATTGGCAGGCTTAAGAACGTTTCCAGAAAGCAGGTAAAACAAAATCAAAGTCAAAAAAATAAAATAAACAAGTAAATAACTTGTAAATAGAAGTTATGGTAAATAGAATGTGGAAAAATCTGAAAACGTGGGTAAAATCAGGCGAGTGCTTTTCTTTTTCTGGATTGCTTTTTAAAACTGTCAATTTGTGCTTTTAAAAAGACTATTGGTTGGGTTTAGTAAAGGAGGAGGCTGGGTCAGTTAATTGGTCAGTCAGTCAGTTAGTCGACAACGGCAGAATGAGCCTGGGCTGAAAACAATTCAAAACAGAATCTTCGAGCTGTGATAATTGTGTTCTCTTCTTTCTTCAAAAAAGAAAAAGGCAATATTGTGTCTATTGAATAAAATCAATACTGAACCAAAAATAATAATAATAGTTTATCATTTGACAAATGTAAACAATATTTCAATTACCAGAATGTGCACCAGATTTAAGTCCTTTGGGTTTCCACATTTGACATGCAGCAGGTTTTCAATACACAGATCGGATGGATCTGCTCTGAAACCACAGCAAGACCGGTCCAGTCTGTCATTAACCTGCAGAACACAATGGATTAATTATATGTTAATAGAAATTGCAATGCTTTGTAATATAATGACTGACATACAAAATAAGTTTTTAAACCATGATTTTTAAAACCACTGGCTAAAAATGTTTTGCACTTTTGTGAAAGGGAGTAATTCTGTATCACACTCTCCAAATTTTTTCATTGAAAAGTATTGTGTCCAGTGTAAAAGACCATGAATGTTAAAAGGTTAATCATGAAATTATATTTCAAACCAAGAAAAATTTTTGTTGGCTTGAAAAACCCAACATATCAAACTACAATTTTAGCCAACCCAGGCTCATTCTTAAAAAAACGTAGCCCCGTGGATTTATGTGGCCGGAAGTACGTATGGCTGCATTTCGTTTTTTCAAGCGAATGCTACATGGCGGTGTGACGCTACTCCTCTTCACGCTCACCGGCTGGGCTGACGGCTCACCTCCTCCATGTGGAGGGCTTTCTTGTCGCTTCCAGTTTGTTCGGTTAGCTAGTCGTGTTACGTCGGCGGAGCGGAGGCCCGGAGGAGGAGGAGCCAACAAAAAAAAAACAATTCCAAAAAATAACGGTGCGAGAATGCGGTGCAATCCAAAAACGCGGTCAAAATGGGAAAAGTGTTTTTCATTTTCTGGATGGCTTTTGTAAATCGTCACTTGGGTTTAGAGAAGAAGGAGGAGGAGGGTCAGTCGATCGTTCAGTCATTCATTCAGTCAGTCGGTCAGACGGTCCCTCGACAGCGGCCTCTGGCAGCTTGCGGGTTTGCGAAAACAAGACTGCACAAATACGTACCTACCGGGATGTATTTTGCGGTCTCCAAAAACGTCCGCGGGGCTACGTTTCCAGAATGAGCCTGGGTTGATTTTAGCTGTTTCTTCATGCTAGCAACATGAACTGTTTCAAAGAAAGTCCTTTATCTGTCGGCAACCTGATTAAACCTCCATTAGAGTGCATATTAGCATCCATATTTCACACTTCCATTTGGAAATAGCCTAAGTGCTTAATCTTTTCTTCTTGAAAACGCCAGTATATATCTATGATGTGCAAAACTTATACTTAAAAACAGAACATAATATTGAATAAGAACACGAACTGGGACACATCTATATGACATGCTAGCAAATTGCTAAACATTTATGTTCCTTGATAAAACATGTTAGTTCATGCTAGCAATATGTTAACCATGCTAGAAACATGCCAGTAATACACTATGGTACAATGCTATATGCAATAATAATAAAAAACATTAACCATAACGTTAGCATTAGCATTGAGTGCTTAATCTGCTTAATTTAGTGCATTCTCTTTTCTTTTTTTTTTAAATGTCAGTATAAATATGCTATTTGCAATATTTCAAACACAAAAGCGTGGTGAATACGTACACAAACTGGAAAACAAATTCCTAAACATTTAAAAAACGTGGTAGGCTAAACGTACATTTTAAAACACAAGAGTTCATGCTAGCAATTTATTAACCATGCTAATATAACATGCAACAGGTTACTACAGTACAATGCTAACCATAGGTTAAAAAAACAATCAGTATATGTAATGCTAATGTTTAGTTAGGCGAGTTTAGCACTGAAGACGCAAAACTAGTAAAAAACTAGCTAACCAGGCTAACATCAGCTAATGCTGACCAACTACAATTAGCAGGCGAGCTAAATGAGTCTATTTCCCAAATCAGGAGACAATTATCAACTTCCTCCATTAAAGTTGATTATCATATTGAATCAGTATCAATGGCTTTGGATGCAATTTGTCAAGTTTACTTGATTAAATTTATGGTTACGTTTGTAAATCTGCTGTTTAACTCAACCGTCCAGTTTCTAGCAGAGCTAATGTGAAGTCAATACTAGACTATATTGCAATGCTAAACATACTACAAAAATCAACATTATAATTAAAGCTAGCATGTTAACTAATGTTAAAACATGCTAGCAACATGCTAGATGGCAAGGATTTTAAAAATCTTAAAGATGCTTCAAAACAGAAATGTATTAACATGCTAGCAACATGCTAACTACTGTATGTGCTATAAATGTAACTTTTTTTTCCTACAGACCTACTATGTAGTTTTCTCTCGCCTCACAACATTTTAACGACATTACTCCACTCTGATTCCAGTGTGTGGTGAAACCACGCTGTGGGTGAGAAGTAAAGGTGAGATGTGACCCCGTGGTGCCGTGAGTGTAGGTTTTACAAGCTCATTCCCTGTAAGTTCATCTTCCTTCACTCTTAAACTCCACAGGCCATATACAGACACACCACTGCTATATTTCACACTAAAAAATCCGAGTCGACCTCAGAACAACTCATGTTTATTCACTGAAGGTGTTTGTGATTAGGTGGGTAATAAGATGGAGGCGGGTATTAACATTTGCTGGGCAATTACACTTTATATTGTTTAGACTTTAGAGGATTTCACAACATAAACTTTTTGTCCTCATGTACTCTTTATTTTTCTTTGTTTGTCTTTTTTCTGGCTAACCCAGCCGATTTGAATGTTATCTTTCGATTAAATGGGTTATCAGTGGTTATCAGTTGATAACTTAGCTAACACTCTAATCTCATATAGGAATTATATAAGTCATTTATGGTTGTAATTCACAGTAGCCTATTTATTAAGAAAAGTAATAATAATAAAATTATTATTACTAATATTACTCATTCATTTATTCATTGATTTTCTTACCCATACACTCTCCTTCACACTCATACACTACGGACAATTTAGCCTAATTAGCCAATTCACCTGTACCGCATGTCTTTGGACTGTGGGGGAAACCGGAGCACCCAGGGGAAACCCATGCAAACACAGGGAGAACATGCAAACTCCACACAGAAACGTCAACTGACCCAGCTGAGACTCGAACCAGCAACCTTCTTGCTGTGAGGCCACAGCACTACCTACTGTGCCACCATGTCTCCCCTATTAATATTATTATTATTATTGTTATTATTTTTTTTATTATTAAGTATTGTTGATTTATTTTTAATTTTAATTCATTTCATTTTCTTTTCGGCTTAGTCCCTTTATTAATCTGGGGTCGCCACTGTGGAATGAACCGCCAACTTATTCAGCATATGTTTTACGCAGGGGATGCCCTTCCAGCTGCAACCGATCTCTGGGAAACATCCATACACTTTCATTCACACACATACACTACGGACAATTTAGCCTACCCAATTCACCTGTACCTCATGTCTTTGGACTGTGGGGGAAACTGGAGCACCCGGAGGAAACCCACACAAAAGCAGGGAGAACATGCAAACTCCACACAGAAACACGAACTGACCCATTCCCAGCGACCTTCTTGCTTTGAGGCGACAGCACTACCTATTGCGCCACTGCGTATTATCAGGCATACTGTGAAAATGTCCTTGCTCTGTCAAACATCATTTGGGAAATATTTAAAAAAAGAATAATAATAATTCTGACTTCAACTATATAATGTCATCTTAAAAATAAATGTTACCTAAATACATATATATAAAATAAGTGAGGTTTAAGATAAGTATTGAAAAAGTCTGTCAATTATGTGGAAGCACCTTAAAGATAACAATAAAAATAGCTAGGAAATATGTTTGTCACTTGTCTACATGCTGATATTAAACCAAGAATCACATTTTTCACATCAGCTCAATGTCTGTGACAGCTGATGTCAGTTGGCAGTATCACAAGGAGACAGTCCTCAACACACATTGTGTTCCTCCTGCACATCATGCTCAAATCTGTGATTTCTTTCCTCTCTCAGCCAACACTGTGATAACCTTAGGGCTCACTTATGTAATGTTCTAGCCCAGTGCTGCCAGTGAACCATGGTGAATGCCACAGAGCATTTCTGTTAAAGACATTTCCATGCCACAGCCCTGAATCTTCTGAATCATGTGACCTTTTGCTTAAAAACCATTCACATTTACCATGGATTTACAAATACAGTTGAAGTCAGAATTATTAGCCCCCCTGTTTATTTTTTCTGCCAATTTCTGTTTAATGGAGAGATTTTTTCAGCACATTTCTATACATAATAGTTTTATTAACTCATTTCTAATAACTGATTTATTTTATCTTTGCCATGATGACAGAGCATAATATTTGACTAGATATTCTTCAAGACACTTCTATACAGCTTAAAGGGACATTTAAAGGCTTAACTAGGTTAATTAGGTTAACTAGGCAGGTTAGGGTAATTAGCCAAGTTATTGTATAATGATAATAATAATTTTGTCCTTAAAATGGTGTTTAAAAAATTTAAAACTGCTTTTATTCTAGCCGAAATAAAACAAATAAGACTTTCTCCAGAAGAAAAAATATTATCAGACACACTGTGAAAATTTCCTTGCTCTGTTAAACATCATTTGGCAAATATTTAAAAAGAAAAAAATGCAAAGGGGCGTTGTTAGGATGTCCCGGGGTGCAGATGTACAAAACCAGTGACGAGGAATAAATTCAGTCCAAAGTGTTTATTTTAGTGCAAAAATGTGTGCATTCCCAGCAAATATATATATATACAAAATTTACAGAATCAAGTTGTGTTCTGGCTATGCCAACAGTTAGGCCCCAACACACAACTATCCACACAGGAAAAAAAAAAACCTTCCTAAAATAACCGTCATGCAGGAGCCATTTTAGAGAGTTTGGCTCCACCCATTTTGTTAGAACATACCACATGAAAACATATACAACTTCTAAAGCAAGTCAAAAATATTTTATGAGACAACACATATGGTAGTAACATGCAACATATACATCTCAGAATTACCTAAAAAAGTGTCTGATTAATATGTTCCATCAAAATCAATGGTTTCCTTGATTTATCCCCCTATAACATCATCTAACATGGTAGAACCCTAATCATTGGGGAAATGGAAACCTTAAAATGGCTGCCTTTCCTGCATACAGGTTTGGCGGCACCCAGTAAAGACAGTACTAAAGGAATGTTGGGAATATGGACATAAAAAGATAGATAGTTTTGGTTGGACAGTAAATGAGGA